AATTTACATATTCATCGTAACTAATGGTGCATTCGGCGCCTAAAATAGCTTAAAAATTTTGTAGTGTACTTATAATTGAAAAATTTTCCCCCATATACTTCCAAATTAAACTTTTTGTATGTAACTTAAGTTTTCTCGATAACGGCCCTGCCTAATTCATATTATAAATAACAATTTCAGTTCAATCTACAAAAGATGATAATTACAACGCAGATTCGGCAACAGCTAGTCTAGATATTTTCATTTCAACAATCGATTTGCTTCATCCTTTAGTTGGAACATTGAAAATGAATAACATGCAAAATGATTTGATCGATTTTCAAGACAGACATAAAGGAATGCTTAAACATTGTTTTAATGAATTTGTTAAAAATAGAAAAAAAACTCAAAACTATATTAATTTATTCGTCGCAATTAATAAATTTTGGTCAAAAATTGCGGATGAAAAGGTTAAAACTAATTGAAAAATTGGGGATACTGCCTGCCCGAAATCACATTCAGTAAAGCAGCTGGGCTATAGTTAATTCTCTCCTTTTGCTTATGCAAAAGTTTATAGCCGCTACTGCATAGTTTAGGAATTAAATAATACATGTTTTACAATACTTACCTATATATTTTCGGGTGTATCTAATCTAACCATATGAAAAATATATACCTATCTAACAGTAAGAAAAATATTTAAATATAAATATAATAAATATATAAAATAATACTATAATAGAATAAAAAACTGATATATTAAAAATATTTCTAATTGTTCATATACATAATTTTCAGTTAAAAGAAATACAAAATGCTGGTGAAGGTAGGAACTTTATATTATAAATTTTTATACGTTTTTTGTTAGTTCGCATTCCCCCCAATTTAGGATTCTTTATGTAAAGTAGAATGCCAAAGAAACGGTATTGAATAGATAAATAGTTGATGATGTTTTGTCAATTCACATCCTTTTTGTACATATATAATCTGCCAATTTCAGAATCTACCAGCATTTCTGGAAACCTCTACGAAGCATCAATTAAGCTCAGATATACTATCAATAAATTTTTAATTCAAATTAAACGTGAATTAATCCTTGGATTTCCTTATAGTAATTTTGAAAATATTTTGACTGAATTAATTAATCTGAAAGAAGATTTTGACAAAAATTTTATTGATATAAAATTAACAGAAAAGGATTTACAAATTCAAAAATATAAAATGTTCGCGCATCTATATAAACCTTCAAGCAGTAAAAAGGAAAACAATTACTGGATTGATGTAAAAAACCTTAAAAAAGAATCAACTATAAATGTATATTTTATGCTAAATATCATGGGTATATGACTTATTTAAGACAAAAGAATTGTAATTAGGTAGCAGAAATTCTATCATGCCGAAAATCTTAGAGAATACCTGGCCGGAAATTATAGTGACATCATACTATAGATTTTTTAATATAGATTTAAGTGTAAAATAGATCTGACTTCAAAAATTTATATTAAAATAGAAAAACATATTATTAAATCTTAAATAATTAGATTTACAATCTTTGGAAAAATATTGAGCTTTTGCTGCGAGTTAGCCAAAAAATATTCAAGTATATAAAATATGCTGTTGACTCCGTTGCTTTGAGAAATGATTTAAGTGATTTTAAATTATATGTAAGCATTTAATTAATTTTATTAACTTAATTTATTTATTTATTATTTATTGACCAAATAGACACGCATATTTATTGACCTAAAAGACACAATCATCGTAATTGTTATAAATGAGAAATAATAAGTACACGTAATTGTTATAAATGTGAGATAATAAGCGAATCTACACATCTATCTGATTTCTAATATATACTTACTACTTATTTATATGAGAAAAAACACGTAGAGATATAGCGCAAGAACTTGTACAAATGTCATATAAATTAACGCGATCTGATAAGTTTGGATTGTCTACTTGAAAAAAGGTTTTATTTTCAACTTTGCTAAAGGATTCTATTAGTATATTTGAATCCGGTTTCGTGCTACTACGTACTACAGTCACCACACAAAGCATAAAATAATCTCAGTATTAAATTTTTAAATTATAGATCAATGAAGAAGGAAATAAATTTTTAGCAAAATACTTCAAGGATCCTAGTAGAAAAATGCCTGATGATTTAAAAGATCATGTAAATAATATAAAAATTGTGAGCTTAGTAGAGAATGTATTAAAGAAAAAATTAAACGAATTGACAAAATATTTTTTGGATTATACTGGGAAAAATAATTTGAAAAATTTATTCATAAATTCTATCGATATTACCCAATATATTGAGGATGATTTACTTATTCCTAAGGAATTCTTAATTACAGAGCAGAAGAAAAAACAAAATGAAAACACAATTGAACAAGTAAAGGTTAGTAAAGAATCTCTTATAGTAAATGATTTAGTTTCGTCGAGCTGAATAAGACTTTGCTAGTAGAAAGATTGAGTAGACAGATTTGTAAACAGATTTTCTCATATGAATGTAGGTTCCACATTAAAATTAAATTTGATAAGTTTTCTAGCAAAAAGTTTATTATTCTATATTTTTTCGTGATTAAATCCCTCTCTTTATTCTCCATTAAGCTCAAAAAAATTTGAAAATAAAAATTTCTGTACCGGATCCGGTTTTCCGAAATTTTCGGCTCTGATATACGATTCAAATATACGAAGATTTCACAGGATCCGCAAACCTTAGTCCAAGAGATAGTCTTGAGTAGAGACCGAACTCGAGTGATCGTTCGATATATCGGTATCGATATCGAAAAAATATCGATTATCGATAAATATCGAAAAAATTGAAAAATTTATCGTTCGATAATATCGGTATCGTTTATCGATAATATCGACATCGATATATCGATATTTTTATCGATATATCGTATCGGTCCGGTCTCTAGTCTTGAGTTCCATTTTCAGGGCCGCAGTAACTAGAACCGGACCGGATCTTTTTGGCCGCAGTAATCGGGAATTGGGTTGACTAGACAACGGTTGCAGGTCAAGTTGTTTTGCAGGACTGTTGTGTTATACCTTGTAGCTTTAGGAAATAATTAACAATAATTAAAATTTGATGTTTTTTCATTAGATAAACTTTCAGGAGTTCTTTTTAATATGCTTAATGTTAGTATAATACTTATAAAATTAATTTAAGAATGTGATCATAAATGTAGCAAAAGTTCTATTAGTCTATGCTCGTCTCAAAATACTTCTTAAAGCTTTCAAAATAAATTTTCTTAATGCTAAGAAGGAGGTTACAGAATTCCAAATACCTGTAGAAGCTGAGGAGTATATTTCATATGCAATTTTTAACCCAGAGGTTTCCGATAAAACTAATGAATATGTGATAAATAATTTTCAAAATATTATTTCAAAATACAACAAAATCCGCATTGAACCGTCAACGAGTAAAAATGGAAGAATTTAAATTGAAAAGCTAGATGTGTCCGTAAACATGATTGACACATGACTTTCTACATTTACTCTTCAAAAATTTTTGTCATTTATTGAGTAAAAGATGATTATATATGTACATATATTACATAAATATTTTTGATTTTTAAGAATTTAATATTTTGTCAAAAATCGTCTTATCTGAATGTTTCTTCTTTCAGAAATACATATACAATATACGTACATCAGGGCTACATCCCTAGATCATTATTCCCGGGTCATTTCTTCTCCCGAGTATCACTAATACAACTGCTTTGCACTTTAATAATTAATTTAAAATTTTTAAATTTTGAAATCGTTCCGGTTGATGTTTAAAAGCAGTAGTCTGCGACAAGATTTCAAAAGGTCAGAGCCGGAGCCACAAAACGACTAACAACCAATAACGATAATAATTAGGGATCTTTTGTATTTCAAAATTTTTATAAATTTCAGAGAATAAATCCTAAATAATGTTTTTACAATGTTTAAATGAGTAATTTTCTTTAAAATTATTTTTACAAGGTAATGCCTCTTGATTATACAAAGCCCGCTCTTGCGACATTTATTAATAACAGTTTTTATTTGACATTTATTAATTAAATTATTAATTAATTTTTTTAATTTTCTTTTTATTTTACAAACTACATATATTTTTAAAAGGGCAAATTTTCACGTGAGAAAATATAAAAAATAAAAGTGCATTAAATTATGAAAGTCTTTAAAAATATATACACATCTCTTTAAAAATAAATACATTTTCTTATAAATATGTTTATAAATATACATAATTTTTAATTTAAATATAACATTGAAAATTTATTTTTTATTAACAAAGAAAGTTATAATTCAGTTTTATAATTTTAAAAGAAATTCAATGAAGAAAATATTATTTTTAATTATTTTTCTTCAAAATACTTCATGTTTTGCACTACCCAATCCATTACAATTACCAAATTCTATTAAAAATTGTTAGTATTTAAATAAATTTACACAAAAATATATTAAATTTATAGTTCTTTGTCAAATTCTTGAAGAAAGTAAATCTTGCTATAATCCTTTAAATGATGATGTTACATTTGAAATTTTGGAAAAGAAATATAAATTTATGTTTGAAGCAGATGATACTGAAAGAGTTTCAATTAATCGAGTAAATGACCAAATAAATATTTTAAGCAATTTTTATATGATGGAAATACTTTTAAAAAGATATCCAGAACATAAAAATAGTAATATAATGACGTGAGTAATTTTAATTATATGTATATGTATGTACTGTATATGTACTGTATATGTACTGTATATGTACTGTATATGCACGAATAATTACCCTCTCTCGAACAATTTGAAAATATATCTCTTTATGCCTTAATCTCCCCAAATGCCTCAAAAACTCTTAAATGACTGCTCCAACAGGTGCCTTATTCGATCTTCAAATTTCAAAACTCTAATTTTGCCATTTTTCAATTCCCCCTAGCGAGAGAGTGAAACAGTAATTAAAAGTTTAGGTTCATATTAAATATTATTAAATTTATTAAAGGGGTATATTCTACCTGACTGGCTATTACATGGCTTCTAATTACTGCTATTGCTATACTCTTCTTTTACGTCAGAGTTATAATCATTATATTCACAAAAATATGGAAAGAGAAACACCGATAGAATGCTCAATTTCATCATATTCAAAATCAGTTCAAATCGTTTTAGATAATAAAGAATTAATTGAAGAAGCTACATTTATAGTTTTCATTTATTATTTCTTACGAAAGCGTCCATCATTTCAAGAATATATCAAGTAAATATTAGATATTTTTAAGTATTTTAAATACTTTGAATATTTTTTCAAAATATTAACAAGCTTAATTCAAGGCTCGAATTCGTACTTTTTAAAAGTATTGTATTTTAAATCGACCTCCGTACTTACGATATTGAATTTGTACTTTTTTAAAGTATGAACATACTGTTAAATCAACATTTTGGCCTAATATGTTGACAAAGCCGGATATCCAGATGTGAAATACATCCGGATACCGAGGAGTTCCCGGGATCCTCCAACCATCCCTTATATTTAAATAGGTAATAATTTTTATTTTCTTAGATCTTTAAATTCTGAAAAATTTCTTGCAAGAATTGGAGGTGTTTTTGGCAAAGCAAAGGCATATACTGTCCATCTATACTTTCCTGGTTTACTTATTCCTGTTTGTATATTTTAAAAAGTTTAATGAAAACTAATTAATAAAAATAATGAATTTTAATTAGAGTTGTGCAAGGTCGAGGTTTTACGTAAAAACCGAGATCGATGATCACCGAGACTGGAAAACCGAGGTCTGGGTCAAATTTGGGCCTAGATCTAAAAACCGAGGTTTTAGAATTTCTATAACGCTTCAAAATCTAAATAAATTTACTGAATTTTATCGAAAATCTGATTCAGATTCAGTATATGGCCTATGCATCAGTTAAAATACACCGTACAAAGTTTCTTGGGAAAAGTTTTCGAAGAAAACCCAGATTTCTTAAATTAGCGCCTCATGCAAAAATATTAAAAATTTAAATGTACAAGAAGCCAGAATTTTCCAAATGGATTGATACTGGATCCTTAGAATTTTTAGCACAGAATTTTGGGAAGTATGTAGGCTTCTGGCTGTGGCTCCTGGACCGGAATTGTATAAGAAAACCCGAAAACTGAGCCGGATCAGAATTTTTCTGCATTAACTTTGTCGGAAATAATCATGGGATCACGAAATGTCTGTGAATTTCAAAAGTTTTTTATTTTAAGAAATATGAATGTCAAGACTTGTTTTATAGCAGCTTGTACAAACATTATTTTACAACAGAAAGTATAGTAGAGAAATGGCACATGAAAATGGTTATTGACAATTATCTAATTAAAGATTGGATAGACGAATATAAAAGTTTTTTTAAGTTTTTTAAATTATTTTTTAAATTAATTTAGAAAATAAAAAGGAATTGGAAGTAAATTCTATTGATAAATTTTGGAATAAAAATTCCGAAAAATTTTGGAACAAAGGCATAATGAATGGAAACATAGAAGATGCGAATTATGAAAAAGAATTAATTGAGGTTATTAAAATAGAATATTAATTTTAAAGGTATTCTCCGGTTATCTTCCCACATGTCTGAAAATAGTTGTACGCAAATGTTATTTTGTCTACTCTTTCCTTCTTTCTGCTTTCTAAAAGGTTAAAGAATGGCAAATAATGATGGCAGATCAAATAAACTTTACACTTCTATAAAAATTTAAGTACCTAGGTCTGCATTTTAGAGCCCATGGTACCGTATTTTGCATGCGTTTTTGAGTTTTATCATGAAAGTTGTAAATATGTATGCATCGAAAAAGTCCAAAACATGCAATAAAATATGCAACGGACCGTTGTCGGCAGTTTAGAACCAATACGAACGGGAGAGGGGGGTAACACTAGTACAACACTAGGTTCACATTATCACCTGATTGATTTAGCTTACCTATTGTATAATATTAAATTAGGAGGTATATCTAAATACAAAAAATCATGCTCTGGAGAAAATGAAAAATCCTACACATTTGCATAATGTTATGGTGGAATTTACTAATAAACCTAAACAAAATACTAAGAAGAAGGGTGGTAAATATAAAAAAGAAACACCTATTGAAATCAACCATAAAATGCATTTACAAAAGCTAATTAGCTTAGTTGTTGATTTAGATTATAGTTTGGAGGAAGTAATTCTTGAACAAATAAAACAAAATATTCTAGCAATTTTAGCATATAATAATAGAGATTCAGGTGATAAATATAAAATAGAATTATTATACCTTATTTGCTTGATTATCAACTTCTCTCAAATAGTTACTCAACTCTTTTAATTTTCCGAGTTATTGAGTATTCGAAAAATAATTACCCTCCCCAAATGCCCCACGTCATGTCCAAATTTCAAACTTCAAATAATTGTCCTCTCTTGAATAATACCAGTTCTATTCTCAATTTAATTTACTTAATTAGTAATTATACATATTATTTAAATTTATTTAAAAATATCATCACATTAACGTTGTGCCCAAAAGGGCATAAGCCCTACACTATTTTCCCATTCCTCTCGCATTGTTATATTTACGTACTATTTTTATTTACCGCCCACAATTTATTTTGTTTAACCACGCCTACTTTTGGCTGTCAAGTTAGCGCTCGGCTGTCCCTAAAATCACTTCTTTCAATCTTCTTTCAATTTCCAACTTCTCTCAAAATCTTATAATTTTCTAATTCCTTTAAACCCAATCAATTAAACCAACTTTTCTCCCTTCAACTGGGAGCAGGAGAGCGGAGCACTAACTTAAATTATTTGTTCGCATTTTCACCACATATTTTAATCACCAATTTATTCACACCGCGGATCCCGAGCTGTTATCGGACCGCTAAATTTATTTGTTAATTAAATAAATCTTTTCTTCTTTGGTGTGTGTATTTTTGGGGATTTTGGGTAGGCTGTCGTCGTCATCATCGCTTATAAGTTTAAGAGAACTTTTGAGTTCTCTGTCCTCCCTTTATAAGCGTCCGTCCCTCCCATAGCCGGAGGCCGTACAAATTGTGTGTCCACCCGAAAGGGCTTTTGGGCACATATAAAAATTGGAGCCCCGTACGGGTCCGCAGTCCAATCGCACTGCCCCCGTTTCTTCAGGCAATTGTGCCAATCAACACGTCTGCCTTTTTAGGCTAAATTTTGTGTTCTCATCCTGAACACGCGGTTTTGGCCACCAGAGCCAACCGTTATCTGCTCATCAGCCAGCAGCACACGAATACTTACTCTTGGAGAGTAAGTCAACATTTATCTTCTCACAAGTCAGCAGTTCACGAGTTCATCATCTATTACTCCTGGAGAGTAATCCTTAAGTCGGAAACTATCCGATTCACAGCCTTACCCCACAAGCCCGCACAACAAAGTGCGCAAAGTCGTGATCCCTCAAGCGGACCGACATACATTCACGCTCCTTGAAGGACGCAGTTTTTTCCGCGAACAAACCCGCTCATCCCCTTTTCTACAATTTCAATCTTTGCTCTTTGCTAGCAATTTTTTTGTGCTTATTTTGCACATTTTTCTTGAAAGAAGTCATTCCTTTGTTTACCAAAACTTAGGTCTTAACACATTTCATCAGTTGTGCACATTTTTGCACAATTTTACACGAAAAACAAGAAAGGAATTTATTTGGCCAAATCATCGGCCAATCAACAAGTTTACAAGTTGGTGCATTTTTGCACATTTTTTGAGAAGAAAAGGGACACGAAAGCCTTTTCTTTTGTTTGGCCATAACTTTGGCCATTCACACGATTGGCGCATTTTAGAGCGCGGCAACACGAGTTTAAAGAACACTGACTTTTCGCTCTGTGAGCAAGTCATTTCTTTTGTTTTGGCCAACCCGTCGGCCAATTACACGGTTAAGTCAGAGCGACTGACTTTACATTTTTAGTGTTTATTTACATTTTTCACACATCTGCGTTTATTTTTCTCTTTTGAGAAGAGAACTTTGTGCTGCCACTTACCAGTCGCGGTAAACATCAATTTAGCACAAAATATACCAAAAGTGCTCTCTTCTCATATTTTCATCAATTTTCTGACTTTGATAGTCAGTCTTCAGCGAGTTTATTTTTTTAGCTTAAAGGCACAAGTTCCTTAAGCTTTTGCGTTTTTGGACTAAATTAGCTAGTCCAACGCTTTTAAGCAGATTATTATAATCGCTTATCACAATGCCATCTTCAGGACATATTCGAAGGAAAATTGGGCTAGCTCTGAGAGCCCTCAAGGATCATATTATCGCGGCAACCACCCTTTTGGGTAATGAACAAGAAGCACAAAACCCGGCACGCCTCCGGGCTGAAAGACATCAGTTGATTCGCACACTTGAGCGAATAGAAACTCTCGATCACGAGTGGACAGGATTTATTGATCTCCTGGATGGAGGAGATTTGGAAGCTGAGGAGCAGCTGTACAATACGTTTCCTCCTAATGTACAGGAAGGACAAGTGTGGGTCCATTTCATGGACTTCGCAGAACAGGCCCGAGGAATTATAGGCGAGTTAGACTTCCTCCTTTTGGAAATGGAGGAAAGAATTACAGAGGCTAGTGAGCGTAGTGAACGAACACGAGAGTCACAACGCATTCAAAGTCGAACTCAAGAAGAACAAAGCATTGGAGAAAACAAGGTCAAGGACACTCCTTTATTACCAGACACACGTTTACCAGAGCTCAAAATGGAGCCATTCAATGGAGATCCGAAGAAATGGCCAGCTTTCTGGCAATTATTTTCAATCAACATCGACCAACGCCAAATGGACAATGTTAGGAAAATGAGTTATTTACTCACCCTCCTCCAAGGTCCCGCTAAAGATTTAGTTGCGGGATTCATTTTATCCAACGAGAATTACACGAGAGCATTGGATTTGCTCAAATCACGATATGGCGATAATCGAGCCATCACTGAAGCACTAGAGTCGGAGCTCATGAATCTGAGCCCGCCAAATGAGTCCTGCCATTCAATTCGATCTTTCGTAGATTCGATTGAACGAATTTGCCGTCAGTTGGAAGCTTTCAATATTGTCGATCAATCTCCATTTATATCGACAGCCATCAAGTCCAAGTTGCCCCGCTCTATTGTCTCTAAACTAGTAGAGAAAGAGCGAGGGGCAGAATCTCGTTGGAATTGCGCTCAGCTCAGAAAAGAGCTTATCAACATTGTCGAAATCAAGGAAGAGGTTCAGCGATGTACAACCTCACAAGCGCCCAAAACAAGAACTGAGACGATTGAGAATCACATTTCTTCTAGAAGAGGAAATTACCAACCACGACAAGGAGTACAGGAGCAATCGCGTACATTTATTGCTCCGGCTCACGTACACAAGAATAGACCGTTTGGGAAGTTTGGACAAAGAGAATGCTCCCTATGTCATCAAGGAGCACACTTCCCAAGCAAATGTCCAAGATATCCGACACCACAATCGCGTTTTAATCGGTTAAAGGAGCAGCACCGTTGTATAAGGTGTCTGCGCGAGGGCCACTCATTTAAGGAATGCCACCTTCCTATGTTATGCCGTATCTGCCAGGGCAAACATAGTTTTCTTGTTTGTACCACGTCGACAACGAGGAACCAAACACGACCTAACAAGACAAACAAGAAGGGCACTGCGCCGAATAGGCAGTTTACCCAAATGACAACTACGATCGAGACTCCATTGACTGGAGCTAATTTAACACAAGAGGATTCTCTCGACTCGGAGAGTGATCCAACAAAAACAGTTACAGCCATGGCATTTCCTCACTTACGCAAAAAGTTATCAGCGTACCTAATGACACGAAAGTTGGCAATCGAATCGCCAAAAGATAAGAACAGCCGAACACTCGCTTATGTGTTCTTCGACCCGGGCAGTCAGCTAAGTTACATCACCAAGGAACTGGTGGACAAAATTCGTCCACCTCAAATATCAATCGACGACGTCGAAGTACACGGATTTGGCGGAACAATGAGAGATCCAATCAGAATCCGCTCACCAACATATGCCGTCTCAATCAGAAGAGAGGACGGTTGTTGGGAAGAGCTCGAACTAAATTGGACCAAGGAGATAAGTACTCCTTTTGAGATGGTTCAATGGACGACAGAAATGCCCACTCAAGATTTAGATCACCCAGAAGTCCAGCAAGCACTCAAGATATCATCAGAAGTCCCAGGAATTATGTTGGGAACACGACACTTTTGGAAGTTCTTCAAGGAGAGGACTGAAGTCGCTCCTGGAATTTATGTCATTCAGACTGCCTTTGGTCCAGTAGTTGGAGGGGAGTCTGATATGAGTCCATATGGAGGACGACCTTCACACGCTATGATAGCGATCGGCAAGTCTAATATCGACCAAATGCCTCCTTCCAATATTATAGAAGAATTCTGGAATTTGGAGGGGATAGGGATTACAGAGGATCCCGGAGCTGACGATGATCAAATAGCTGTTAGACAGCTAGAGTCCTCGATTGCCCGAGATAACGAAGGGCGTTACACGGTAAGCTGGATCTGGCGTGAGCCAAAGATAACACCACCGAGCAACTACAGAATGGTCTATAGTCGA